AGAGACAGGGGAAAAAAATGCTTACTACATTTAAGAGGGCAGCATTTGTCAATATTTTAAGACTGCCTATTTTCTGACCAAGAAATTTTACTTGGGACTTATCTAAGAAGAACTTCACATTAGTACAGAAACACATAGTGTGATATTGTGAGAGTTTAACTGGCAGAGGAGATTTGGTAGAATTTACTAAAATAAAATATGCATACTCCTTCATATGGATGAAGCATCTTTCTTGGAAAATACACAGGCGTATAAAAGAATATTTCATACAGCATTTTTGTGATGGTAAAAAAATGAGAAACCACTTAAATGCCTATGAGTAAAGCATATGGGTAAGTAAATGTTACTTCCATACTAAGGAAGAACATCCATTTTAAAAGATTCAACTAGGTATATACTGTGATGAACTGCAAAAGAAGAAAGATGGCGCACACACTACATATAACATGTTATTCAACGGTACCAGAGGAAAGAGGAGTTAAAAATATATAAGCTAAAGTAGTATTTGAGGGTTTGCTTTTACAGTACTCGTGTATTATCTTCAAATTTTAGAAAACCAAGCCTTTTTTGACTTCAGAGTAAAAACTTTAATGATCCATATTCACTTATTATAGTTTTTTTTTAGCTAAAGATGGAAACTGTTTTCTTAAAATTTAAAGTAACCAATCTCTAAAAACAGAAAAGATTAGAAATCTATCTAGTTCTACCTGCTTGCAAGGTATCTGGTTCATCTGGTCTCTGGGCAATCTGTAAGTAATAAAGCAGAGAGCCATACAGGTGTGTCCTCACTCGTTGGAATCCACCACCTAGGGAGATATAAAGAAAGTAAAACCCTTTTCTCAAACTAAAGTTAAAACAAATACAGACGTTATAATTCAAAGGAAATTTAGATGAAAAAACCTGTCTTCAAAATGAAGTCCAACAGCTTCTTCAATATGATGTGAAGTGAAGAATCTCCAATAGAAGCAAAACCCACCACTGGGTTCTCTGCTGGAGGAGGCGAGGTGAGAGAACCATCAAGCAGGAAGGTGTAATGGGCCTCCCCAGGTCCCAAGGCTAAGGGCTGCTTCTGCTCAGTGCGAACAGCTTGGCTCAAGTGAGCAGTCAGGGTGAACACAGCACCTGCTACCACGGGCATTAGCTCCTGTGCTGCTTCATCGTCCAGTATCTTAATGCAGAAAGACAAACCAAAGTGAGGACCCTGCTTTCAGCTACAGTCTTTAACATGTTTTGTGTACACTTAGCTTTTGTTACTCTTTTCAACAGAAGTGTATTGTTGAAAGAAAAGAAAAGCTAAAATATGGAGAAAATTTTAAACAGGATTTGGGTAAATGTGGTATTCTTAACTAGATGGGATTCCTACCAGAATTCTCCAGATAGGTTTTTAATGGAAATTTATAAACGGCCTTACCACTAGAGTATACTATTCAATAAGTCTGGGATGAGATCTGTCCATGTCTATTTTTAAAAAGCTCCCTAGATAATTCTGATACGCACACTGGTTGACAGACAATACTGTACAGAATTAATACCTTCCTCTCAAGAAAAGTCTTACTTTAACATCGGCATTGCACAACTCTACTCCTAATCTAAAATGGAAGAAAAAGAGGGTGGTAAACTCTGTTTAAATGGTATGTAAATATCTGTTCAGCAGTATAAAGTAAATTGGGAAGTACGTCACCTTATCATGCACATCCTGTAAAATATCACGAATAATCAGTTGTCGATCCTCTGCCTGAATGAGGTCCTGAGGACAAGCTGTCAGTATAATTTCTACCAGCTGCCTCCACGACTCCAGCACATGCCATTTTGCATGAAGACACTGCAGCAATTTGTTTCTCCCTACCACATACTGTAGTATGGTACTGATTTCCTAAAGCCAAAGAAATTGAATTGCAAGGTTAACACACAGGCAAATAATGTCTCTTACCAACAGGTCCCTATTTTCAACACCATCAGTTAAGCTGAAAACATTCACAGCATAGTTTAGAAACCTTCCACATGCATGCCAGTCAGCAGATAACTTTTAATGTTATAATGGAGGACATGACTATGAAAAATAATATATAAGGCTGTGTGTGTGTGTGTGTGTGTGTGTGTGTATGGTAAGGAGTGGAGGTAGTATGGGTGGAATGAGTGTTTTAATCCCATCTTCTTTTTCTTTGCAACTGTCTACTTATACTTACTCCAGAACACTAGAATTGCCTAAAATGCAAGTTCAAGGCATAGCTCTGGGCCTTGTCTTTTATTTCTTTGCCCCTCTCTTTGCTCTAGCCAGTTGTGTTGCCATGTATGTGGGTCTTCCCTTTTGACTTCCTACACATAACTCTCCACTTGTGATGACAAATAACTCTCTCTTTCCTCACTGATAGGGAGCAAGTGAAGTCTAACACACAATATGGACAGGTCGCAAATCTTTAGCCTGGCAGAAAAGATGTTATATATTATGGCATCCAGGCATTAACTTCAGCTCAGTTTATAAAGATGTAAGTTAAAAGATTCCATTAAAGTTTAATTTTTAAATAGTTTACTAATTAATGAACTACAAGTCAATTTACTGTTTTGTCTTGTTAACTGGCAATTTAAGTTGTAAAAGTAGATAAAATGTTAAAATGAACATATACTCAATAGGACTTACCTCCATTAGTAGAGGTCTCTGTCCTATAGCTGCCATGCCCTGAAGGGCATTTACTTCGGCTACAAGAACCCTATGAAGAAGCTGTGTTAAGTGGGAAAAGAAAGAAAAATAAGACCCTTTCAGACACTATAGAATAACCCCTAGTAATTACTACTAACTGCCCCAGAGGGAAAAGTTTCAGATACCTTTATGCATAATCTAACAGTGGCACTGTCCAGTTTCTAGTCAAAATTATTAGGCATCCCTCACGTTCCAGAAAGCAGTACCAAAGAGTCTCTGTGGCAGGTAAATTAGTGCCAACGCTCTGGATATTGTCTGCCTACAAGTGAGGCATTACCATTTGCTATGGTTAAATAAATACACTTACCATAGTGTAAGGATAGCCAGGTGGCATAACAGTGAAGAGGAAGGTGATGGGGAACTTTTTAAAGAGGTAAAGTTAGTGGGGTCTATTCAATTTTATCTCCCAGCTCTTTGAAAAATGAAAACCACAGCCCAATAAACCAGTATCTGCATTAGAAAACAATAGCTGTATGGTTGTATATTTTGCCTGACAACTCAAAAAGTCTGAACCACTTAGAATACACACTTTAGAGCAATCCTCACCTTCACATTGCAGACTGTCTGTCCCCGTAAATTCTTGTGTTCACAGTTAGCAATCACTTGCTCAATCTGGGCCCGATCAAAGAAATCCAACTGCAAAGGCTCAGGGATCTCCTGACTAAAGTCAATCGAGTCCAGAATACTTAGAATTTTTCGGCGTACTAGAAATGATAGAAAGTAGTTCACTTTCACTTGGGACATGAAGGAGAAGAGCAAACCATCGAAACTCACTCTCAAAGACAATGCTATGTTCAGGAAGAGTGTTGGTGTAGAAACTGAAGAAGACTGTGTTGAAATCTAAATCTGATTTTATTCCTAATACATCCATTTTCAAAGATGTTTTACCCATCCTACCATATTAATTACAAAAAAAATATTGTGAGCTGACAAATGATCCTCTATATATTATTTTCTGAATACCAGTTTAGAATTTGAAGATACAAGCATAATAATTATCTCTTAAAATTGTAAGCAATTTAATATGTATCTATAAAGTTACTACAAATCCAAAGGGTACCTTTCGTAGCAGTGTCAAAGTGAAGGAACCCGGAGACAGACCTATTTTCATCTTCTATTCCTCCTTCACCATCTGCTGGGGCACCAATATTAATAGATCACAATCAGAATAACATACTCATAACATTTATCTGGAAAAAATAAACGTACAGTATTTTTTCTCTAGGTCATTGTTTCTAGGTCACAGGGCCCTCTGCAAGTAGATACTTAAAATGCAAAGATGATGAAGACTTAGCAACAACATTCATCTAATTCTTTCCATACCTATGGGATCCACTTCACAATTGTAAAGAGGATCATCAGAACTCCAAAAGAGGCATCATGCCAACAGGGTAATTAGCAAAGTTTATGCTTTATTTGCATGTAAATACTTTAAATACATTAAAATATCTTAGGTCATGCTGGCTCAATGTGACAAACTCCACTGAGCATTTGTGTATGTGAATATAGCAAAATGTGGATGCTTCAAACAACAATAAAATGACAATTATGGGATGATTTTTAAACTTCATATTTTAAAGAAAAAAATTGTAAAGGCAGAAAAACTTCTTTGGCTTATAATCATATATTCAGCACAAGATTCAGATTTATGCTTGCATTTATACAGACTAGTGAGCAGCACAATATAATAAATGCCAACATTTACATGTGCACCTGAGTATGGTTTCACTGGCATGTCATCCAATAAGAGGTGTAGGAGCCTCTGAGTATGTGACCGTTGACGATTCAGAGAAGTTACCCTTAGTTCTATTGAAGCAGTTTTCATCAGCCATGACATTTGGTTCAGCACCGATATTTCATATTCTGGAAGTTAAATACATAAATTTTGACTCTTTCAGTAATAACACAAGATCAGGACAGACCTAATCTAAATTCCATAACTCATTAGGTATTTTCCTATGCAACATAGTCAATAATTTAGGAAACTTGAGAACCTCATTTATTACTCTGCAACTAAAATAGAAAAACAGATGCTAAGAGAGGAAAAATAAGCTAGCCTATGTCTATAAGAGATGAGCAAAACAAATGAAGAAAAAAAGAGAATCAAGTTTCCATTACCAGGATAATTTCTCACACATCTACAGAATTCTGAGTCTGTCACAGTTTGATGTTAATATAGAACTTAATACTTAAAAAGAAACACAAAACCTCAAGTAACTGTCAAATATATAGCTTGTAAAAACAAAATCTATCAGTTTGATTTTTATTTCACAAAATAAAAATGAAAATAAATTTAAATTGTGAACTTCTATGATGCATCTTAAGATAATCAACACTTGGTTTCACATATAATGAGGGTTGGGCCTTCCTCTGCAGCAGCCACTGAAGAGAAGCAGCCGTGGCTCCATGTTACCCTCTAGCCGTGGGCCTCAAAAAGGGCCGCAAGGTATCAGAAAATGGGAGCAAACTTTGGCACAGCTACGGCAGGCACTTCACCAAGCACACCAAGTTCCTCCAGGACATGATGGAACAGGAGCTGAAGGCTTGGGAATCACTTATACAAGTTTATAGCTCAGTATTATTTTAATTTGCCTGGCTTTGAAGTCCTAAATTGTGACAGTACAAATACAAAATACACCAAATACTACTACTGCTACTACTAAATGGACAAGGCCAGATTAATTGTTGAAAAAGAGATACCATAATGGGCAAGATATTAACTTTCCTTTCTAACTAGGTATAAAAGAGGTTTTTGAAAAAAAGTTTGTTACATAAATAAAATCTTAGGACTACAAATAAGACACAGTAATTATGAGGTAAAAAAATTTTTGCATTAGATAATTCCCAAGCACCTCTCACACCATTACTCTAGATAGTAAATCAGAACATGATAATTACTAGTAATGGAATTTATTACAAAATTTGTGAGTTTAGATTTCCCAAAACATAAAAATGATACAAAGCAAACTTTGAAAAAAATTATAGACCACCACTGTCTGGATATAATGTGAATTCAGAAAATTGCTAAAAATTGATTCAAAAGAAAATTATCTAAATAGAATCCTATAACCGAGGTGGTTAGCTCAATAAGCTAAGTTACAGAGTTTACACCATAATTAGTTTTCAGTATTTCAAGACGAGTTGGTTTCAATGTATACACAAGAAACAAAAGTAAAACAGATTTTTATAAAGCAATTTTCAAAAATCTAAATCACCAGGATTCTCTTACATAAATATTTTCTTACCCCTTCAACATACTTTTACAAATTTTATTTGGTAGTGAAACGTCAAATTCCATCCTTGACAGGCTATTTTTATATGATCTTTATGCTTGCAACCACAACATCAGGCTTCTCCAGAATAACTTACAAAAGCAACCCAAAGGAACAAAGGAGCAGAGTAACAAAATGAAAACAGAATTTCACAAACACTATTTAACGGCTACCCAAAGTTATAGAAATAAAATCACTCAACACAAGCTTTACAAATGTGTTGTAATAAATAATAAGGAGAAATCATGACCTACCTTTGTTAGAAAAAGGTAAATGTTGCAACTGAGAAAATAAGAAATCCTGGCTGGTTCTCAAGTACCTCATAGTAGGACCAGATGTATCAGAGCATGCACATAACTGATGTATCACCTAAAAAAATTTAAATAAAATTTAAGAATTCCCCAAATGATTTTTTCTGTGCTATACATTTTAAGATAAAAGATGAACTTACATTTACTAAGTGGAAACTAAGTCCCATCAATAACTCAATCAAAATAGATAAATGCATGTATAAAACAGAAGCTCCAAGTTCTAAGCAGTCCTGGGAACCCTAACTCGAGAAAAGATATTGGAATACAATCAATAGTGCTGCCCACATTATAGGACTAATCTTGAAATCCCCTGAAATATATTAGTATGTATACATGTAGTTAATAGATTTTAGTATTTTAACTATTATTAGTAGCAAATTACTCAGAAGTAGCTTCTGGAAACCATAATTATCTTATGTCAACCTCAGGAAGATAAATTTACCAGGATTTAAACATAAACAATTGAAAAATTGCAAAAAATCTTAATTACACAGATTCAACTAAATGATATATGCTATAAATAAAAATTTAACAGAAAATAAAAGAACTAGGGATAAAAGCTTTTACATCAAATGTAAGAAAAAGTGAATAGCTATAATACATATATAGATCTCCATTAGGTATATGAGTATCATAAAGATCCAAACAGATAAAAATAGTAAAAAAAAATTCACAGGAGGAAAAATAAAAATAGCCCATAATTAGAGAAAAATGTCCAACCTCTTCAGTAATAGTAAATAATTAAGGCAGTAAGAAGATAGCCCCCTTAATGTACATCAGCTAACTTTTTAGTTATCAAAAGCAATTTCAGTGAATAGATAAAGAAGATGTGGTACATATACACAATGGAATACTATTCAGCCATACAAAAGAAACAAATCCTACCATTTGCAACAACACAGATGAGGCTGGAGGGTATTATGCTCAGTGAAATAAGTCAGGCAGAGAAAGACAAATACCAAATGATTTCCCTCATTTGTGGAGTATAACAATGAAGCAAAACTGAAGGAACAAAATGGCAGAAGACTCACAGACTCCAAGAAGGGACTAGTGGTTACCAAAGGTGAGGGGTGGGGGAGGGCGGGTGGAGGGGGAGGAAGAAGGGGATTGACCGGTGTTATGATTAGTTCACATGGTGTGGGGGGAGTCATGGGGAAGACAGTGTAGCACACAGAAGGCAAATAGTGACTCTGGCTTCTTACTACACTGATGAACAGTGACTGCAATGGGGTATAGGGAGAGACTCGATAATATGGGGGAATGTAGTAACCACATTGTTTTTCTTGCGAAACCTTTATAAGAGTGTATATCAATGATATCTTAATTAAAAAAAAAACGCAATCTCAGTATTTGGAGATGGTAGTGAAAACTTTCCTTCATGAGTGATTCAATTTATAAATATTTAGTAGATGTTTTCCAAATACGAGGCACTTTAGATTCATAAGTTATTGGCACCTCTTAATACCTACTATAATTGTTACAATTACTTGTAAATTAAAATCTGAAGCTATAAAGTTATTCATATCCTTTGACCCAAGTCTGCCTTCAATTATCTGTAGAGTTCGTATCTGTAAATTCACCTGCATGTCAAATTTATAATTCCAAAATCAATGCACCATGCTTTTGTGGCCACTTATGAAAAGACACAGAGCAGCAGAAAATGTGAGGTGACTGACATGCTCTCAGCTGAGGATGAACAAAGCACCACTCTGCCCTCGTTTCAGGTCTCACACTGAAACAGATGTCCTTTTTGCAATCTATTTAGTGACCCATTTTCCATACTTCATACTGAATCACTTTGACAGTGATTTTGCTGTTTAAAATGGCCTCCTAGCAGTGTTGAAGTTCTGCGTAGTGTTCTTAAGTGCAAGGCTATGATGTGCCTTACAGAGGTTAGGTAAACTTCGTTCAGGCATGCGCCATAGTGCTGTTGGCTATGAAGTCAATGCTAACGAATCAATGATATACCTTAAGTGTCTTTGAACAGAAACACACACAAAAAGGTGATACAATCATGAGCTGATGGAAATGCTGGGACCAGAGGTTTACAGGGTTTCTAACTTATGTTGTCCCTAGAAGCCAACAGTTCAATATTCACAATTCAGTGTTCACTATGAATTTGTAAAATGAGTGATGACAATCCATCATACCTAAAACATAAACTACAAAATGTAATGAAAGATGTTTGCTATAGCAGAGTGAAAATCTGAAAACAACCTAAATGTAATATACATCATGGCGGCATAAAAGTTTATACACAGAGAAGGAAAAAAAACCACAAAACTGTATGTTTGCTGTGTATAAGTAAACAAACAGTATGTATACATAAGGAAAGAGAAGGGAACACAAAGCAAAACTTAAATAGTTCTGCAGCAGATGTCTGCCTGTCTTTCAAACAGGTTTAAAATTGTTTTTGGTACTCTAAACAAATAAAAAATTGACAAACTAATACTGAATTTCTCAAAAGAAAACAAAAATCAGTTATTTGTATTTAATGGCCAGTTAAGAAGATAGAACAGATGCTCAAATATGTGGGAGGTAAACCTGTTAGAGAAGGACACACATACTGAGTCCCCAAAGCACTACAAGCCAGTTACACGGGTGTGCCCGCTGTCCTTTCTAGCTCTCAAGACCACAGGAAAAAGAACCACCCTTAAAAAGAGAAGAGAGCAAGGGTACCGACTCAGGCTTAACTTCACCCAGGCCTTGGCCTTGAATTGCTTGCTGGATGACGGTACCAATAAGGTCCAAATTTTTTCCCTTTACTAAATTAGATTTATTTAAACTAATAAGCTCTTTTTTAGAGGCTTGACCCTTTTTCTGAAGCAGAGTGATGTAGAAACGTATAGGTGAAGGAAGCATTTTCATTAAAAAAAGAACAGTGCTTCTTGTTCAAATGCAGATTATGACTCAGCAGGTCTGGAATAGGGCCTGAGCTTCTGCACTAACAAGCTCCCAGGTGGTACTGAGGATGCTGGACATTCTGAGCAGCAAAGTCACAGAGCATATGTATTAAACTGGCAGACTACTGGCATAGATAGGTTTTGTTTGGCCAGTACAGTGTTTAGAAATCAGAGAAGGTGGCAAACCGGGACCCGCATTATCAATGGTAAAATTTAGCAGGGGCTGCGTAGCACGGCGTGTGCTCTCCTGTCTGTCAGGTTCCCCTCTTGCTCCTTCTCCCCACCGTTCTGTCTTAAATTTGTCTTCACTCACTTATTTCACTTGCCTAACTCCTTTAGCCTAGATTATTAAGTTTATCAATTGTTTTTACCCAAACATGTCACCAAGCATTTCCCCCGTTCAAGCAGAATTCATTTTGATTCAGAGGAAGACCAAGCTGTAGTACTTTAGCGAAGGACAGTGTTTGGAAAGCCAGAGGCCAGAAGAAACAGTAAAGATTTATAAAAAGGAAAAGAAGAGAATAACAAAGAAAAATCCACATGTCACTAGAATTAATGATGCATTTTTTTATATGAAAATGTAAATCAGTGCTACTTAAGTTGAAAACTGAGTCACATCCTATAAAGCCTAGTTCTTGAAATACTTATAGAATCAATAAAACAGGAAAAAACGTAAGAATAAAACAAAAGTAAACAAACACAAGTAAAGCAAAAGTTCTCATTACAGTTTAAACTTCACACTAATTTGGCTTTCTACCACCTTATACCTGGCTATCAGGCTCCATAATTTACATGGTGCTTAAAACATGCTTTCACTTTCATGCTTATACTGCCACTGAAGTCTCAGAATGGTCCATGGCCCACTTCACAGATTAAAAACTCAAGCATGCATAAAGTGAGTAGGTTAAGGGACAGAGATGGGAACCAGAGGTCCTCGGACCAAATCCACTGTTCTCTTCATCAAAAAGAAGCAACTTGAAACTAACATCATTGGAAAGTTTCTATATTATGTGGTCAAAAACCATCTCACAAATTCAATTGCCCTCATTTTTCCAGTGATCAACCTAAAGGATGCAAAGATCTACAGGATCTTGGGGCCTATGCTTTATGGATTTTGTAAATGAAAGACTGGCGAAACTACCAAATGAACTCATTCCAACTGAGTCTTACTGTTACACTTTTCCTATCTGTGATGTATTCAAGCATCCATTTCAGCTGCTTCTATTACATGCTACAGAGGAGAGCCTTCTGTGTACCTGGTAACACAGCTCAGCCAGTTGAGGAGATTCGCTCACTGCCACCGGGCCTGTTCTCCCTTCAGTTCCTTTTTCCAAGATGTTTAAAATGGCATGAAGACACGTCCGAGGGCAACCTAACACTCCTACATGAAACCAAAAGGAAATTCAACTTCTCTTTCAAAATTTCTGCATTAAAAACCTTAAAATATCTTTACAAAAGTTAAATTCTGTAAACATACGCTCTATTGCAAACACACTTTCAAATACTGATACAGAGAAGTAGTAAAATTAATTTTCTAAGGCTTAGTTTGTCCAGACTTGATCTAAAATCCTAAAAATTGACCCATCACATGACCTTTCACACATTATTTCTTCTAGTGAACTGTCTCAAAAGCCCAGAATTCAATAAGGAACATTTAGCTACATAACATGAAAAGGAAAAAATGCCTACTATCTCATTGCTATACCTGGATCTTGTAGGTTTGTGGTACTGACAGGTTTCTTCAATTCAAAGCCCAGTAAATAGAGAGCAAGATTGGGTGGATTGCGTTCCAGAGAAGTGATGAGAAGATTCAAGATGTGGATTCTTGTTTCCTGATGGATTTTAGCTAATTTCTTTTCAAGTTCTGATCCTTAATGCAGAAATCACAAAATTACAAAACCATAAAAATTTAATGTAAATCAAGTTTAAAAATTATAAAACTTGTATTACAAAGCTCTGTATGTTCTTTAGTTTCAGGTTACCTGATTGGCCTTTATGCTGAGTTCAGATTTAATAGTTTCCCAAAAACCTTATACATTTATGCTAGCAAATTTTCAAATTTCTCTTACATCACCACTAGACAGTTGCCAGTGTTCTTTGTATTATTCATATAAACTAAAAAAAGTACATTAATCTAAGACATAACATACCCTCTTCTAGACGTACAAATTCTTCTGCATCTTCACTATCCAAACACTCCACAAATCCAGCCATCAGCTTCTGACTTACACTCTGAAGTTATATAAAGAGTTAAGAAATGGCAGAAATTATAAAAAGTTTCTAAATATTGGAGAAACTGTGATAAATATGGTATGAAGAAAAAAGGCAAAATCTGTTCCAAGTATTTAGGTTTTTGTTACATTTTTAATTCATAAAAACTCAGTTCATTAAACTGTCATTAAATCTCTATAGAAATAAAAAAAACTTTTAACTTTATTGCTTTCAAAACATTCAAAATATTGTCTTATTCTCTCTCCCAAAGAATCAAACTAGATTAAAAAAATATCATTAGAAATTGCTGTTTCATAACCTCTTCATTACATACTTGATGCTATGAGTTTTGAACTAAAATATAAATTCTCATCTTCTCTCTTCAGAAATGTGTTACTTATCACCAGTTTTATTTCCTGAGCTGAGAGACTGGATATTCAGTCTCCCTAGGAAATGTAGCAGGATGTTAAAACTGGTAATAATACATACACAAATACAAATGAACTGAACATCTTCATCTGCAACATCCCCTATCACCTGGTTTTCAAGAACCTCATCCAAAAACATCTCTGTTTTACTATTAACAGTGGTTCTCAACCAAGGTGGTACTGCCACTCCAGAGGACACTCAGAACTGTGCAGGGGCATTCTAAGTTGACACAACTAGAGGTTACTACTGACAGGTAGTGGCAGGGGGCCCGGGATGCTAGGAGTTCTGCAGTATGAGGGAAAGTTACACACAAAATGAAGACCTGTCCCACCCAAAATGCCAGAGGAGTCTGTTTCAAAACACTGTGGAGTACAGAATAAAATTCTTCAACTACCTAAGGCAGTGAATTCCAACATTAAGACACAACAGGGTAAATGTCTACAAAGAGGAAAACAAATAGCAGATGCCCTATTTGTAACTAATCAGTGCAAAGAAAGAGACCAGATTATAAATTATAAATTGGATTAATGAGAATAACATCTAAAAACTCTCTACAATGCACTATTAAAAGAAGCAACATAAATGTACATCACTAGAAAGCCACAGAAGTAGAAAACTCACAACAGTTTGAGACACATTCAGAATTGCAGAGGCTCACTCAGAACACAGGCAAAGGACAGAGGGTGAAACAAGGATGCAAAACAGAAGCTGTACTTACAAACCTCACTGCTGCAGTGTGCTTAGAGGAGCACGTCCCATCAGTCCTTACACTTACTATAGTGTATACAGTATAATCATACACTAGTGCATATGTAGTATTAAGTGAATGATATTGTCTTCAAATACAATCACACCCCAGTACATGGATAGGTTTTCTACTCATCCTACAGTAAACATACTTATTCTCAGAGAATTTTTTCACACACAGGAGTAAGATTCCTTCATAAATACTATGACTTCCATATGTATTCAGAACATACCAAAAATTAACAACAACAAAATCAGTTACCTGGTCATGCGTGAAATCACCAACCAATTTTATCTGAATATTGGAGTTGCAAGAGATACAGCAGAGGATCTTGGCACTTTCGAAAGCCAGTTCTGCATTAGTATTGCCATGATATAAGTATCTTCAAAACAAGAAAACATTTGAGGTACAATGTGATGAAACTTTTGGCTTCTCATTCTTCTCAATAAAGAACATACAGAACTAGGACTTCTACCCACATAGCACTTTTGTATAAATCAGAAAAAGGTTTTCCCCTTCTAACTAGATGTAGTCTGTTACAGGTTGAATCATGCTCCTCCAAAATCCCTATGTTCAAAGTGAAATCCAGTGACCTTATTTGGAAATAGGGTAGTTGGAGATGTAGTCAATCAAATTAGGGAGGGTTCTAATCCAGTGACTGGTGTCCTTAGAAAGGGGGAATATGGATGGACACAGATACACACACAGGGAGAATGCCACGTGAAGCTGAAGGCAGCAATTAGGGTGACGTTTCTACAAGTCAGGGAAAACCAAACAATTCCAGCAAACTACCAGAAGGTAGGATATATACAGTATATACAGTGAAAAGTTAGCTCCCCAGCCTTATCCTCCAAACATCCAATTTCCCACAGGAGATAAATAATATTAAGATTATATCATTTTATATTTACAAATGGTTAGGACATAGAATAAATTAGGACGAAAAAAAAGAAATTGTAAGATTCTGAGTAATTAAAACCAGAGAACCTAGAGAAAACGACAACAAAATGAGGCGGGCAGCAGGTGAGAAGGGATGCTTTAGGGATTCGACGAGATTTGGAAATCAAAGCCCAAATGCCCATCTGATTCATTTCATCATTTTTTGTCTACAAATGTAACTAACCTGGCAATATTCACCACATTATCAGCCTTCTTCGTTCTGGGATTGATTCCCTGCAATAGCTGTTCTAAAGGAGAGACTATTAGAGCCAGTTGACTCTCTCTTAGAAGATCCATAAAGAGATTTTCCTTTTGCAGAGTAAGATTGAGAAGTGCGAGACAATGCTGTACTGCTTTCTCCAAGTGTTTCTTCCCTATAAACCAAAAACTGAAGTTAGAAAGTTCTAATGAATCTTGGGAACTCTTAGTCAATTCTTAGGAAAACAAGACAAAGGACAAGATCTACATTCAGTCCTCAAGTTTTCAAACTTTCAGCAGCAACTTCACAGAATTGATCACTCCTGAAAGTCATGATCATTTTTTGTGACTCAGATTACTTTCATGCAATGGCTTCTCAGTTATTTTTCCTGTGTATTTTCCCTGATTATTTGGAGCAATGGTTCTCAGAAGGAGGTGATTTTGGCCCTAGAGGGCATTTGGCAATGTCTAGAGACAGTTTTGGCTGTCACAACTGGGGAAGTGCTGCAGGCATGTAGTGCATAAATGCCCAAATCCTACAGGACAACCCCCACAACAAACAATTATTGGGCCCAAAATGTCAGTGGTGCCAAGGCTGACAAACTGATTTAGAGTAGCACATATTCATTGTGGAATGTCTGGAAAATAAAGAAGCCAAAAATATAAACAAGGATCAACTAAAATCCCAATTTAACTTACAATTAAATTGTATTTAACTCAAATGAAAACACATGGGCTCTGAAGTCAAACTGCCTAGATTCAAATCACAGCCCTGAACTGGAGAAGATGTGAAACCATTTCACCCAACAATTTCCTTATTTGTTAAAATGGAAATAGTAGTATTTACCACATAGGGCTTTTATACAGATTAAATGCATTAATATACATGTTTTTAAAAATGCCAAATGCATATTGAGCATTCAATAAATGATAATAATTAGCAGTACTTTGATGTTAAACTAAATCTATTGAGCACTACGTACAGGCACTATAGTAAGTGCTTTCACAAATACTATATATGGACAACAAAACAAAGTACTTTAGATTTAAATTTAGGCATGTTAAAGATGTAAGTGAAAGAAAGATCATTATCATTACCTATAAAAGACCCTGCAATGAAACAGTTACAATGAGAGTCTCTGTACTTTGCTTATACTGTTAATGTACTTTCATTGCATGACACACTGAAAACACCACTGCAGATACAAAGAATCTTACACAAAGTGGAAAGGAACTTCACAGGTCATCTATTTAAAAACCAGTTTACAAAAGATGAAAATTTTTAAACTGTTTTCAGGACATGAAGACGTTCAGGCACGTACCAGGAAAAGGGGCATAGGTATCAAGCTGCTTAACACCTTCTTCCAGTAAACTAAGAGCAAGCTCCAACATTGGGGACTCATTCAGAAGATGATACATCAGACTAAATCCTGGTGGCTTATAGGCTATAATTTCTTCTCCTAAATAGAATATAACACAGGCCAAGAGA